CTCCACATGAATGATCATTTTAAGCTATTTTCTGCTATAAACAAATTTTATTCAACATATATTTATTATCAAAGGACATAAAATAAATTCACTACAATATGATCAAAGGGCTGAAATCAAATGTTTTCCTTGCACATGAACACAATGTTTTTAGAACATTTTGCCAGTGCCTTCTTTACGGGGCACGGATTCTTGTATGTCCATTCGACGCCAATTTCCAACCAACGAGCCCATTTGATCAGTTTTGTCGAACAGGCCCAAGAGCCCGCCCGTGTGTATGAAGAGCACCTTTCGCCCTTCCCATTTTTCTGGATTTTCGACCATCTCTCTCATCATTCCATAAGCTGCTTTCCCACTTCATAACAACATTAACCGCAAAAAGCTTAAAACATGTAAACTAAAATAAACACAAAAAAGAATATGTTCTTGAAAGAAACCTAATAAGACGACAGCTTCTGCAGATCCCGTTTAATTTATCATGATTTATCTTTCAAAGATTTTTATAAATTTACGTGCCTGTAGACTGGATCGAGAACAATGCCAGTAGCTTGAGCAATATCTTTCACAAAGTTTAATTCCTCAGCTGTATTCATGGCATAACCAAGGCCTTTGGCCTGCAGATATGTACATAAGCATTTTATATGGTAAAAAAAAAAAAGTAATAAAGGACAAAATTAACGAAAAATAAGGATAGCTACGAAAGCTAGTATCGAGGTGTTTGATGTGGGACATAACAAATTTTTAATTCGAGTTTTTCAGACTAATGATTATAAAGACACAACAGACAATTTTTTAATGGAAATCCCATCCTCTGCTCTCAGTAACAAATTTTGGACCTCTATGTAACGTGATAATTGACAACCGAAGACAAAAATAAACACAGAAAGAGGCTCACATTTTTTATGTCGATAATATCACGTGAGCTAACACCTGCTTGAAGTCCATCGAGTAGGCTTTGAGAGAACTCATAAAAGTAGTCTGGATCATCACATACACAGTAAGCATGGACCTGGAATATAAAAA